CAGCAGCAGCAGCATCAGTGGCAGCTACAGCAGCAGGAACAGCAGCAGTAGTAGCAGCAGGTACAGCAGCAGCATCAGTGACAACTACAGCAGCAGTCGCAGGAGCAGCAGCAGCATCAGTGGCAACTACAGCAGCAGCAACAGCAGCATCAGCAACAGCAGGAGTAGGAGCGGGAGCAGAATCAGTAGCAGTAGCAGGAGCAGCAGCAACACCAACAACAACAGCAGCAGGAGCAGCAGCAGGAGCAGCAGCAGCAGAAGTAGCATCAGGAACAGCAGCACGAGCAGCAGCAGCAGCAGCAGCGGCAACAGCAGTAGTAGCAGCGGTAGCAGCAGCAGCAACACCAACAACAGCACGAGCAGCAAGAGCAGCAGCAGTAGTAGCAACAACAGCACCATGAGCAGCAGCAGTAGTAGCAACAACAGCAGCAGTAGAAGGAGCATCAGCAGCAGCATCAGTGGCAACTACAGCAGCAGCAGCAGTTGCAGCAAGAGCAACAGCAGCAGCAGGAGCAGCAGCAGTAGTAGCAGAAGGAACAGCAGCAGCAGCAACAACAAGAGCAACAGCAGCAGCAGGAGCAGCAGCAGTAGCAGCAACAACAGCAGCAGCAGCAATAGCAGGAGCAGCAGCAGCAGAGGGAACAGCAGTAGCAGCAGCATGAGAAGCAAGCGAATCCGCCACGATTTTCATAGCGATTTCTCAAATGTTTTCGACTCGCATTTCTCGACTCGCAGTTTGGCATCGTTAGCAGCCGGCGCGTGCCCAAAACTGCATTTGTAGAAGAACACGGCCCGAGGGCCGTTGGCTGTTTAATGTGCCGGCTGTTTGCTAAAAAATTAAGATAATTACGCAGAAGGCGCTGGCGCTGCTGTCAGGATCAGCCGCAAATTGCCGTCATCATTCTTGACTACCTTTTGTTGTGCCAGGACTTATGAGAAAGGCCGAAATGTCATGTACAAAAGATAAAAAGGACACGCCGGCTAATGAAACGGCAGCAAAGCGTAATAACAAAAAAAAAAAGAAAGGGAGAAAAAAAAAAAAAAAAAACAAAGAGAAATAAAAAGAAAGAGAGACAGAAAAACCATTGTGTGGAGCAAACACCAAAAGGATTGTAAGGCGCATTTCCATTTCGGCCAAAACCACCCACGCCCACACGCCCATAGCTTTTTGCCCACTTCTATTGTTGTTGCTATTGCCGTTGTTGTTGTTGCTGTTATTCAGCTACCGTTGCCTTTGTTAAATTGAAACAATTTGTCACTCTTGGCCAAGTTGCCAGCGGGCATTGTTTTTATGGCAGAGCGAAGGCTGCGCCAGCGACGGCCCAGCCCATTTGATAATGAAATAAATGAAGAGTAAAGTGAGTGAGGGCATAAATATGTACAAATATTTTGCTTCATTTTATTTATTTATTTTTTGTTGTTAATAATATTCTGCAAGTATTGTAATTGTATTGTATAAAATATGAGCACGACTGTTGGCGATTATTCTGGCGTTATACAATCTGAATTATCGCCACACAAATTGAGGTTCGAATCACAAATGTGTAACTTAAATATTTATGAAAATTAAACATAAGTTTGTTTTAAATTCTGCAGTCTTTTTAATGAATACAAAAAATGCATAAAATGCATAAGTCTTTGCTTATACCTAAACGATAATCGTCCTTTCGCATTAACGTACTATTAATAAACTTATCAAATTATTTTCTTCTGATGCTTAAATTATAACCTTATTTCACATAATTTTCTAAAAAAAAAAATAAATAAATAAATAAATAAAATATATATATAAAATTATGTAAAAATCCTCGAGCAAATTGATGTATTTTTTACTAAAAATTAAATCATTTTAATCGTCTATGTGTACGATACGTTTTTATATGTCTGGATTAAAAGCCTATATATTATTTTTTTCCACTTGCTATATATATCATATATATATATAAGCGCTGAGGTCTCTGCAATAAATGCATTTTAGAATTGGCTGAACATATAAAAAAAAATAGTTGAAATATCTAATATTAATATAATGTGTATTATTATAACCTAATTGTGTTGTTTAGGTACTATACTTGCATTGTACAGATTCAGCGCTTAAAATAAATATACCAAAAAAAAAATGTATATTATTATAAATAATTAATTATTTATATTTTATTTTTTTGTTTTATATATTATAAAAACATATAGATATATAGTACATAAATTATTATTGTTTTACAATAAAAAAATTTTTGTTTATTCATTACTTTATTTATTTTTATTTATTATTATTATTATTATTATTATTTTTTTTTTTTTTTTTTTTTTTTTT